AGTAGTTAGATTTTTACAAAATAATGTACATTTTTAAATATATCTAATTGAAGTTTCTTGAAAGCGACCTTATTTGATTACAGCTAAATTAATGCGGACTTCCAACATGAAAAGGTTCCCCACCCCTGAACTAGACAGTGCCCTTTGAGAATAAGTTGGATGTGTCGATTTACTGATACTGGTTTTATGTCTGTATTATTTTGGGTTGTGACACCGTAAGGACTTGTAAGCAGATACCAATGTTTCAGAGAAAACTTCTCGGTCTCCATCCCTGAAGATGTTATCTAACTGCAAGTCAACTGGCGTTACAACTCAGAACAAAAACATCGAACATCAAATCTCACGTAATACAGGTTGATATTACATTTTTCGATATACTATTTAACGATACTGTATCACCTTAAAGCTCAGTGGTAACTACACGTATCTCCTGCTAACATTCCATAACCCTACAATCTGCTCTCTGAATGTATTCGAAGTAATTTCAAACTTCAATAACTCGGCTAAAAATAGACATAGCGCCGCCATCTTAGTCTCGTTTTAAAGAGGAAGGATATACGTTTGTGCTAGTACCGCTCCGACATTCGTGACGGCCGGACGTCGCGAACTGCACACGCGCAAAATGAACCCACGATTTTCGACTTTCCGGATTCGACACGTGTCCATAAACGGGATCATATCTCAGAGACTAATTATCCGATCCGAGTGAACCAAGTGTTGTTTTGAAGAGGAGTGTATATGTCACAACTCATCCTGGCCTCCAAGTATGTATCTCAAAAACTCAAAAAGATACGAGGCTGTGAATTTGAAAAAGTTTGAAAATTTCCCGATTTTCTTAAAATTTCGCGATGTATATGAGGGCAAAGTGCAACCAGAATTACAAAAATGTTTAATTTCAATATACTATACACGATTGACGTTTTCACGAAAATAACTGCGGCAGTGTCCGACACTGCCTATCAATTTTTTTTTTGTACGAGTCTCAAAATAAACAGAGATTATTTCCTTAAACGGCATTAACCAACTGATATTTGTAATGGAAATACTTTGTGAAGTATTCGTGTTCTGCAACGAGGCATTTTGTAGGAATTGGGGTTTGGAAACACTGAGTAGAAGCACGATACTCTTCATACAAGATAGTCTGTGCCTTGGTGAATTTCAAACTGGGAAATTTCTGGATAAAAATAAATTGTTGAGGTCCGTGAGAAACGTAAGCTTGTACTGGAAGACTCGATGCCGATGACTGACGAGTTATAGCGAGACTGCATCAACTATGGAGGCAGTTTGTCACAAAAGACTGTGGATTTTTTGGAACACGTACATTTTATATGGGAAACTGACGCTGAAGTTTCGGTGTTTACAGCGGAACGTTGTCTCTTGTTACAAATACAACAACCAGAAAATCAGTTACAAAAATCATTATGACAAGTGTCTATTTGAATTACGCAGTCACAAATACGGAATCATAGCAGTAGATTTCTTGCTCTGGAGTTTTCTACAAGACGCCGGCCGTGTTCACTGGCGTTCGGCAAAGATTCTATTCTGGAATCGAATATCAGCGCCGCTCTACGTTCAGAACGGATACTACAACACTTACAAAATTCTACTTCCATAATTAAACTATGTTCTAAATTTTAAAGTATATCTTTCATGTTCACCGTAAAAATATATGTATAGGTTTCCGTAGCCGTTTTGGCGAGTCTTTGGCAAAATTTGATGCACACGCCATTCCGCAATCGCAGGAGGGTCGGTGTAATGCACTACCAAAACGCCCGTAACTAAGAAACAAATGCTAATTCGATGATGCCGGCTGGCACACTGATTCACTATGAATGTAGGCCGCACCCCCTAGCGGCAGAAGCTCGTACTACATCCGGTTCGCCCTCTATTGACACAGTCTTGAAACTTTCCGATCGCACCTCGTACATCCTCAGTTCTACTTCTGATGTTCTATGGCGTCCGGATACAACGAAGTGAAATGAGGAAAATGAAATCACATAATGAGGAGCTCCATAGTTTATACACTTCATCGGATATCGTTAGGTTGACCAATCAGTGAGGATGAGATGGGCGGGGCATGTAGCGCGCGTGATGAGATACGAAATGTGTAGGTAAAATGTTGTTGTTGGAAGACGTGAACGGAAGAGGCCGCTCCGGAGGAACCAACCACATATGGGAGGATAATATTAAAATGTATCTTATGAAATAGGTTGTAGGATGTTGATTGGATTCATATGACTCGATGGGAACCGGTAATGGTCTGTTGTGAACACGGCGAGGAACCGTCGATTTCCATAAAAGGCGGGGAATGTGCTGAGTATCTAAGATTACTATTTAGGATCTCAAGGACTCTGGCCGATACAGTCAGTACGGTAGCTAGGTGATACTTTGACTTTGGGGTATCGCAGGTGTTAAGTTGCGTATTTCGTGCTACTCTCTGGAAGGACGTAGCGGAGATACAAGTTTGAACAAACAGGTTCTCTGGTCGACACATGAAGTTTGCATCGGAAATGTTTGAATGACAAGAAGCAGTTTATCTTCTGATATTTGTTAACCTTAACTGGATATCTTTTACAACATTAACTTGTGAGACTGTCTCCTCTTTACGTACAAACTGACGAATTTCCTTTTGCAGAAGTGAATGAACCCTTGTTTACCTTCAATTAGTTTTAATTTTAACAATTATCACCAAGGTAATTGAACAATTAACACCGTATTAAGAAGTCTGCTGAATCTCTGTAAGTCTATAACGGCAGGTTCTTATTAGATACGACACTGTGTCTACCACTGTGCGTTTGTAAGCTTATATGCAGCGTTGAAGTAGATACACCGGGTGTGTGGGGAAACTTCATGGCATTAAACTAAGGATTATTTTCTAAACTTTGGTTCTGAAATGCTTACATAAAGAGTGGTAAGATTTTCACCCGTCTACAACTAATGAATCCTGGTATAGAAGTTTGGTCGTGCTGAAATGTAGTATTATCACAACGCTAAGATACTTTCATAATAATATGCCGTTCTTTTCCTATAGCGTAATGCAATGTTAGTAGCCTGGCGGTGCGCTAATACCCAGACCGGAGTATTCTCTCGGTGCCCGAATTTATAACTTGTGTTGGGCAAGGCCGTGGTCTAGGCAACACGGAGTTTTCCTCCGTGGCATCCCAACAATTACTCCATTCACACACAGAAGAAGGCAATGGC